ACCCCTATTGGGTGTGTGTACAATGCCCTAGAAATTTTTTAAAATTTTTAGACATTTTCCTAATTATTTTTCATAGGTGTTTCTACTATTCAAATAGGCTTCAAACTTGGTGTGTCTAACTCTGGTACACATGCATTCACATCACAGAAATTTCACAGTAAAATACTAAAAATCTAGGGAGTTATGAATTTTTAAAGCTTAGGGTTCATAATTGACCCTTTACTTTGAAAATTCACATCACAAAAATCTATTGGGTATTTGACCCTAGAAAAATTACTGAACATGCCTAAGATACCCAATAATCTTTCACCAAAATTTGGACTCAATTTGACCAATAGATTGTGAGAAAATCATAAAAAATAAAATTCAAACAAATGAAAATATCTCACAATACAGAAACCAAATCAACCTAATTTTAATTTTAATAAATATTACATTAAATTTCCTTTCCAACGAGCCCAAAAACGTCCAATTTGGTGGAAAATTTGATTTTCTGTGAATTTTGGAAGATCTGGGCATTTTTTTGAATTATTTTGACCAAATTTGGTCAAATCGGCCGCCGGCGCCAATTATTGGCGTCGAAACGACGGCGTGACACGTGGCGGGATGGGTCTCGCCATTTAAATGAGTCAGTGGTCCATCACGACCGCTGATCCGGCCGCGGAACGAACCGACGGTCGAGATGGTGCCACGTGGGCGCCCGATGTCTGGATAGGCGCACGCTCGAATTCGGCTGTAGACAGCGCGCGATCCGGCTGATCGTGTGCCGTATGATCCTATTGAAGAGAGGATCAGACGGCTATAATTGATCCGCCGATTTCAGTTAGAAAATAAACTAAACCTTCAAATGGCTATATCTCCCAAAATACTCAACGAAATTTAACGAAATTTGAAATGTAGCTTAAGGGCAATATAATATTGCAATATCTGGAGTTTGGAGGCTCCATGCATTGTAAAATTGCTACAGTTTCAAATTGAAATTTAAACTTAAAATGAGTATAACTTACAATCCAACCGTCGGATTGTCGACTTCTTGGGCTCGTTGGAAATCTACTAAAATCCTCTTCAACTTTGGTGAAGACTTCAAGATCTGGATCTTGCTGGATTTGAAGTTATTCTTGAATCTCCCGATTCTCTCTTTAGATCATCTCTCTTCACCAAAATATGATTTGAATGCTTGATTTTTGTGGGAAAAACTTGAGGAGGCTATAGAAATTGTTGGAGAATATTTTTTTTAGAATTTTTGGGGTTAGAGTGGCTTTGGATGATAGGGATTAAGTGTGTGAGTGTTAAGATTAAGATCCACTCAATTAGGATATTTTTTCCTATTCAAACCCACCCTAGTTCATTTGGATGGCTGGGATCAACCAAGGGGCTTGCTGGGATGCTGTCATGTGTCTCAGGAGTAGGTGGGAGCAGGGAATCAAAGGACACAAGGACAAGCCTAGGTGAAAAATATCCTTTGTCCTTTTAAAGCACATAGGTATAGTATGAGCCATTTGATCTAGATTTAAGGGTTGAGAATAATCCTAGGAGGGTTCTAGAACCTTAACAAACAGCTGGAGAGGCTTAGGGATGGAGGGATTAAGCCTAAGATATCATTTGACCATGCATAATGCCTTAAATTGACTGTTTGACCAGTCAAAGTTCAGGTGGACTGATGAGGTGGCATGAAGAATATTTTGAGCTGTTGGTGGAATGGGTTCAAAGGAATTTAAATGGGTGAATTGGAGATAGGAGCAACTTAGTGAGTATACAAGTTTATTTGATCAAGTTCTAATGAGTTGACTTAGTCAAATCTACTTGGATTTGATTCACCAAGATTTGAAGCATGATTTGGAATTTATTTGAGGCTTGAAATATCAAATGAGTTAAAATAACACATTTAAAACGTTTTAAGGGGTATTTTGGTCAAAAGGGTCAAACTGGTCAACTAGGCTTGACCAGGGTCAGGGTTTGAGTCCATTGCACTCCTAAGAGTGATTAGGATGTATTGGAAGATGTCTTAAGTTTAACTTGAAAAGGACATATTGAAGTCTATGAAAAATTTTGAAAATGCACCACTAGTCAACTGGGGGTCAAAGTAGGTCCAAAAAAATGCAGTTTAATGCTCAATGGGTCAGGATTAAGGGTTTAGAAGTGATTGGAGGCTTTGGAGGAAGCTCCAAGGTTAGGATCCACTAGGTGGCAGGTGCAGTGGCATAGGCCGTAAATATTTGAATGTTTTACAGCCTATGAATTTTGATTCAATTTATAGGATTAGAGACCTCAGAATGGGCTCAAATTTGGAGGGTTACCTCTAGAGACATGTCTTATACTTTGCAAGTGATAGACTCTGAATTAGAGGTCTTTTGACTCGGTTTTAAAGTGTTTGAAAAATCCTTGAAAAGGCTTTCAGGGTGGAGCCTTTAGCCTTGGATTTGAGTCTGGGTTGATCTAAGATCTAAGTAGATCCTAAGGTCTGGAGTCTAGAAGGATTCTAGAGTCTAGATTGGTCTGGAGATTAAATTGATTTAGGGTCAAGATTGGTCTAAGGGACCTCATACAAAAATGAGGTCAACACTCGCATAACAGTTGGAATGCAATCAGTGTACTACTCTCCCTTCACATAACAATCAGCCCCCTTTTTGGATTATTTATTTATTGTGTAAATTGTATTTACTTTTTTTCTATATATAATATCCTCAGAGGAGCCTATAAATACCTCAATATGCATGCAAAAAGTAAGTAAATAAATCTCAAATTATTTTTCATATTTCCACTTTTTCTTTATAGTATGAAACCAAGTTTAGGATTTCCTTATTCTAACCTTTGTTCTCTTTTCCTACTTTCTTGTCGACATTTTTCTTTCTCGTCCTTATGTTTGCTTTCTTTTGTTTCTCTTCCAAGTAGTCAACCACCATGAATGGTTAAATTTTGATTAAGTGAGAGCGCTAGGGTCTATGAACTTCATAGCATTTGAATGGAAGAAACTATCTCAAGTGGTCTCAAATAGCGAATACTTTTCTGAAATAAAAGAAAAAGATCCATCACCTGGTGAATCTTATTCCAAAGATGAAAAACTCAAAAGTTATATTTTGGGATGAAGCTGATTCCATGATTATAACATGGTTGTGAAAGACTATGTTGCCTAAAATTAGTGAACCATATATTCTCTTGTCTACTATAGAAGAAATTTGAGACGCCTTCAAGCAAACATACTGCAAAGATGTGCATCTACGAGATCAAAACTAAGATCTCAACAACCAAGCAAGGTAACCTTCAAGATATTGAATATTTTAATGTAATGAAGATTTATTGGCATGAAGTAGAATACTTAAAAAACCTTAAGATGGCATGTTGCAATGATGCAGTAATTCTTATGTAATTTATAGAAAGAAAAAGGATGTTTGAGTTCATTGTGTAGCTCAAGAATATCTTCAATCAATTTCATGTCGAAATCTTAAACATAGAAAATCTATTATCCCTAAATGAGATATTCCCTTATACTGGTTGAAGAAGAAAGAACAGTAATGCTCAATACTTCAATCTTCGAAACATTTGCCATGACTACCATCGAACCCCAAGGTAAGGGATTTATTGCTACATATTCTTCCCCTATAAAAGGACAAAAGCCTGCTTCCAATATCAATATATAGTGTGATTATTGCAAGAAAAAAGGGCACATTTAATAAAATTTGCAAAAACTCCATGGAAAGTCCTTAGTTATGGTGGAAATAAAAATTGACACATAAAATGGCAATAGTTTATCTTACTAAATTAGAAAGGTTCAACTCCGAAGAAATTGAGAAATTTCCTGAACTCTTTCGCGAAACTATTCAAATTATGCTCTCTAGCTCAAAAAACTTTTAACTTATGTATTTTTAATTCCTCAAATAACCCAAAGAATACATCACCGGGTGAATCTTACTCGAAAGCTAAAAAACTCGAAAGTTGTATTTTGGGATGAAGCTGATTGCATGATTCTAGCATGGTTGTAAAAGACCATGTTGCCTAAAATTATTGGACCATATATGTTCTTGTCTACTATAAAAGAAATTTGGGATGCCTTCAAACAAACATACTGCAAAGTCATGCATATCTACGGGATCAAAATTAAGATCTCAACAATCAAGCAAGGTAACCTTCAAGTTATTGAATATTTTAATGTACTGAAGATATATTGGCATGAACTAGATTACTTAAAAAATCTTAAGATGATGCAGTAATTCTCAAGTAATTTATCAAAAGAGAAAGGGTGTTTGAGTTCATTATATGACTCAACAATATCTTCAATCAAGTTTGTGTCCAAATCTTAAGTAGATAAAATCTATTATGCCTAAATGAGATATTCTTTTATACTGGCTGAAGAAGAAAGGACAATAATACTCAATACTTTAGTCTCTGAAGCATTTGCCATGACTATTATTGAACCCCAATGAAAGGAATTTATTGCTACAAATTCTTCCCCTAGAAAAGGGCAAAAATCTGCTTCCAATATCTGAATATCAATATATGGTGTAACTATTGCAGGAAGAAAGAGCACACCAAATAAAAATTGTGAAAACTCCATGGCTCGCCTTTAGGTTATGGTGGAAATAAAAAATGACTCATAAAATGGCAAAAGCTTATCTTATTGAATCAGAATGGCTCAACTTTGAAGAAATTGAGAAATTTCCTGAACTCTTTCGAGAAACTATTCAAATTATGCTCTCTTACTCAAAATGTTACAACTTTTAACTGATGTACTTGTAATGACTCGAATAACCCCCCCACCCAACACACACACACACAAAGGACATTAGATTCCAATAGCCATTGATCACATGACAAACATTGCCAACATCTTTTAAATCTACACAGGTCAAGCCGTCAAGGAAATATTTCAATTTCTCTACGTTTACCCTTAGTAATATATTACTTGTTCCTTGTCAAAATGTAATTTTTTTATCGATCCATAAAATCTCCATAAATTACAGTTGTGAGTTGACATTTTATTTGTTAATTATTGTGTATTTCAGAACTTCACTAAGGGGAAAACGATTGGATAAACTAGAAAGAAGAATGAGCTACATCTTCTTGAAGACAAAATCAGTTTATCATGCTCCTTCATTTCAACCTGCAATATTGAAATAATTTGACAGCATCATTATAGGCTAGGATGTACCTACTTCAAAACTATACATTGTATGGTTCCTACCCTTTTATGAATATAAACATTGAAAATTTTAATTGTAATAGCTGTGAAACTATAAAACATCATTATATTGTTTTCTTGATAGTAATTTTAGAGCTTCCACTCTATTTATTTTAGTTCACTCTAATATTTGGGGACCCATCAAAATCCTCAACATTTTTAGAGCTACTGGATTTGTTATTTTCATTGATGATTGTACTTGGATAACATAAATATATCTCATAAAATAAAACATATGATGCAACATTATCCTCACTTTCTTTCTCATGATAAAAAATCAATTTCATATAACATTACAATATTTTGGACATATAAGGCTTGTAATTTCTTCAATCACACATTATCTTTATTCTTTTATAAAGAGGGTATTATTCACCAATCCTTTTGTCTTGAAATTCCCCAACAAAATAGGATGATAGAAAAAAAATCATCACTTTATGGAAGTTGTTAGGACTCTTTTTCTCTAGAATTAAATACCAAAAATATATTAGAGAGATGATATTCTAACAACCACTTAGCTAATCAATATAATACCCTCGGTAGTGATTGAATTTTAAAGTCCTTTAAATGATGTAATAATTTTTGCCCACACATAACTTCCTTTAAAAAATTCTTTATAAATATTTGATGCATTGCCTTTGCCTATATTCACAAATAGGACAATGGGTAAAGTGGATTTTAAAGCCTTCATATGTATCTTTATTGGGTAGTTTTTCATTAAAAAATGGTACAAGTGTTTTCATCCTATCACGAAAGCATTGTTTCTAAGAATGCCACTTTGATGGAAAGCAAAGTTTTTCCAATTAAACACATTTTTAGAGGGAGAACTTTAATATAGAAGATAATTTTGATGAAATATTTATCTTTCATCTTTACATCCCTATGAAGCAAATCCAAGTACTGTGTCACTTCAGATCTACACAAGAAGAAATAAACCCAGCCATACTCTCCAACAATCTCAAGACTTGGAATTGTTATATGGAAATAATAATCAACTCATCACAACTCGATATTTCTCATCTCCCAATGCACATGTTTCCACAAATTTTCCCTTCACATGAGGTCTTCTTGACAAATATAAATTCCAGTTTCATTCCAATACCATAAACTCTATTTGAGGCAATTGATTTTTTTTTTGAAGGATGGCATGAGAGGAGATTAATGCCCTAAAAAAAGTACTTGAGACGTTGTTGAACTATAGAAAGAAAAGAAAATGGTTGTATGCAAGTGAATTTTTTCTATAAAATATAAGATAGATTGGAGTTTGGACTGATGCAAGGCAATATTAGTGGCTACTGGATATACTCAATCCTATGAAATTGGCTATCAAGAATCCTTTGCTTCTGTTGCAAAAATGAATACAGTTCACATATTGATTTCCCTAGCAGCTAATCTTCAATGGTTTATGCAAGAAACAACTGATTTGTTTTAAGAGCTAACTTTGAAGCGGCATTTAAAGCGATTGCCCAAGAAACCTATAAACTTTTGTGGATCAAAATTATCTTGGAAGATTTAAAATTCAGATGGGAAGTGCAAAAAAAAAAAAAATAGTGATAATAAAACTGTCATCAACATTAACGTTCATAACCCAGTATAACATGATCATCCAAAGCATGTAGACGGAGATAGATAAAAAAAATGTAGACGGAGATAGATTTTTCATAAAAGAGATACTAGAGATGTTATAAATCAAATTGCAGAATATCCTTACATCAACTTGCCGAATACTTCAACTTGCTGAATAATTCACCAAAAAACTTTGCCCCACGCTTAAAATATTGTTAAGTAAACTTGGAAGGGTAGATTTATATTGGTTAATTTTAGGGAGAGTGTTGAAGATAGTGAGGTCCCATATCGTGGGATCCACTCTTCTGCCTTCTCCTTGCATCCGCCCAACCCAAATTTCCATCCTAAGTAGAAGGGTGGTGAGTCTACCCGCTATGCAACCAATCATAATATGATCTATCGAGCACACGGATTGATGAGCTTAGTCAGTATATCCTCTTACTCTTAACCCTTAGATTGCACAATCTTGTGTTTTATCTCCCATCAACTATAGAGCTTATAAATATTCCAATTTATATATAAAAAAGTTATGCAATAAAAATCAAAATTGTTTTTTATATCTATACTTTTCTACTTATATATATATATATAATAATTAAATAGTTTAGTATTTTTTCGATTTCACAGTTCAACTCTTGGTTAAATTCCGATTGCACCTTTGAATATTTTTCTCATTCAATGTCCGGTTATAAAATATTAGAAATGACCTTTTTTTATCAGATTTAAATGGGAATTTAACTCTTAACAGGGCACAATGGAGAAAAATGATTCATGTAGCCTACCTCACATTGTGCGGTAAAAATTTTATGTTGTTGTTGTAATATCCGGTCCAATGTTCAGTACCTTAGTTTTTAGCAGTCTAATATTATCTAGGTACAATTAAATCATGTTTATATATATCGTTTGTTTTATAAAGCTCGGCATCTCAGTTCTATAAGATATTTTAGCCTTTTTTAATTATGTTGGTGGATTGCAACTTATTATTATTATTTTTTTGGGACATTTAGGTCGATTAAGACAAACTCACACACACATTGCATACACAAAGACTCGAACCCAAGAAATCTTAGTTGGTAGCCTAAATGTCAAAGAATGGAAGCTCATGTATTTAAACTACCCATAAAGCAGCTGATATCTTAAGGCTGTATGATAAACGTAACATTACTGATACTTTTGGCTGTGTACAATCATTGATTGAATATGCGCTTGATCTTGTAAATGCTTGTTTTCATATCATCTATTGCTTACAACTAAAATTGCCATCATATTTATTTAGTTTTGGACTACAAAAAGGCCTGCAATAATGCCAATCTTTTGATAATATGTTTTATATCTCTAGTTATTACTGCTGATCTTCTATTTCCTTGAATGGTCACCATTTCCCTGAGATTTTATTACCTTGCGATTTCCATAGCATTTAATAATATTTGATTATTGCAGGTTCATGGATGTGGAGTGTTGAACTGAATAGAGGACTTTCAATCTGCTGAACCTGATTGGAGTTTCATCGGATGTAATTTATTTAGATTCCTTTAGATCTCTCTTTTTAGTCATTATATGAGTCTGCATCATTATGAATACTGCCCGTTCATCTTGTCTTGCACTTTTTGGCCATCCAGGCTATCAGATATATGCTGCCAATGAAACTATCAGTTAACCCAGCCTTTCTTCGTATGATTTGGTGAGCCCTGGGCAGTTGCTTGTGTAATGAATTGGATTTGTTTTTCAGTTCTAACTCTTTATATTCGGCATGGTAGGCTTGCTGTGCAGGTGTTTCTGTTGTTCGTCTGATGAGCTCTCTGAAAACTATTCTTAGGCGGACTCTTCATATCAGATTTTACTGGTGGCTTTTGATGGAAAATTGCTGGAATGCTTGATTTTGTGAACAAGTGTTGGAAAATTAGTGTGAATGTTTTGGTCCAAATCAGTTCAGAGTCGTGCATTCTTTTGGAGCTTTTGGTTGCAGATTACTTAACGTCTAATTATGCACAATCATCCACCAGGATCCTTGTGGTCAGTTTGTTATATTGGATGCTTAGTAACCCAAATCCTTTAGGTAAAGCAAATTAATTTCATTTTCTTTGCTTTCTTTCCAGTTTTTGTCATTCAATGCGCATTACAAATATTCTCGATAATTAGTTGAATAGATTTCTCATTCCTTGGTATCGATTGTTTGTTCGAAGCATTATACAGCAGCCCATGGAGGGGCGGAATCCAGAGAGGGAATTTCGGCTGATTTGGTGGGGCTCAACAAGGAATTAATTCATTATGTTAGGAGAGGCTCAATTAGGAAAGGATTTTCTAATTGAATTTCAAATAGAAAAGGAAAATATATTAGGAAAGGATTTCATAATTGAATTTCAAATAAAAGAGGGAAATATATGGGAAATATATTAGGAAGGGGGTGATTTAGGAGGGAAGGAGGAGAGCTTATTTAAGGCTAAGTTTAGGATTTATTTGTTTTTTAATGCAGATTTTTATTTGTGTTTGTTGTAACTTTTTTTTAGGGCTTTCTAGCGGCGGCTAGACTATTTGGGAGAGTCGATCTACCTCTCGAATTGTAGATCACCTGTATCTTGCTTTCAAATTGAAGTTATAATCCAAAATCAGCAATTATTGTTAGTATTTATACAATTTTTCTATTGTTCGTTCACTGTTTTTGTCTCCAAGGCGTATCAAATTGATATCAGAGTAGTGTCCTGGATCAAAATCTTCACTATTACAGAGGCATGATAGGGTGAGGAAGCTAAAAATGGCAATTCTTTAAGGGGAATATGCTCAAGGATGGGTGTATCGGATGGAGCATTACTTCGCTATTAATAGGCTTACGGAGGGGGAAAAGCTTATGGGGGCAGTGCTATGTTTGGAGGGCAAAGCCTTAGCTTGGTTTCAGTGGAGGGAAGCGAGGTACCCACTCCATTCATGGGGAGAATTTGAGGGATTGTTGAAAAGTTTTCGAGCCATTCAGGAAGGAAACCTACACGAGCAATTTTATGCCTTGACCAAGGAGGGGACAATCATGGAGTACCAAAAAATTTTGAGCTGCTATTGGGTAGGCTGAGGGGAATTTCTGAGGAAGGTTTGGAGGGGAATTTCATGAAGGGCCTGAAAGAATACATATGAGCAGAACTCAGGATGTTGAGGCTAAGGGGGTTGAGGGAGATGATGGAATTAGCACAACGGGTGAAAGAGAAACTTCAGAGGGAAAAGGTCAGCAGAAGCAATAACATGGGATGCACTTACATGAATACCTTCACGACCCTGGCACCAAAAATCCAAACGGTGTCTTTTCAGAGAGAAGTGTCAAAGGAGAAGTGTCAGAATTCGTGCGAAAAGCCATTTCAAGTGCCTTATAGAGGTGAAGGTATAGGACAGGAGGGCAAAAGGTTATGTTATATATGCGACAAGAAATTTACACCATGACATTTATGCAAAAAGCATACTTTGCAGGCTCTCTTGGTGTGTGATGCGGTGGGGGACGAGGCTGAGGCTGAGGCTGAGGCTGAGAGGGAAGAAGAGCATGTACACTTAGAGGTGGTTGAAGTTTCATTGAACTTGATAGTGGGATTCAACCCGAATCATACTACGAAGGTGAGAGAATAGATAGGAGGAGAGGCAGTGGTGATCCTAGTGGATAGTGGGGCTATTCATAATTTCATATCAAACCAGGTGGTAGACAAACATGAGCTAAAACTGGTTGACACAGGAGGTTTTGGAGTGATGATGGATACATGAAAAGTTGAAAAGAGTGGAGGGATATGTCAGGGTTTGGTGGTAGAGTTGCAGGGGATTCACATCGAGGATTTTCTTCCTTTGAAGTTGGGGAATACTGGTTTGACTCTGGAAATGAAGTGGCTACAAACCTTAGGGGGAGACCAAGGTAAACTGGAAAACATTAGTTATGAAGTTTCAGGTAGAGGGGAGAAGGTGGTAACTAAGGTAGACCCCAGCCATGGTTTAAAATTGCGCAATATGAGGCGCGCCTCAGTGCAATTTCAGACTTTTAAGCCTCAGAGCCTACGCAATGAGAGCTGGCATTGAGGCTTACTCATGTTTTAGAGACTTCTGCCTCTTAAAATTTAAAAAAGCCCTATCCTAATAAGATTTCACAATTGGTCTGTCTGCTCGGTGCCGCTTGGTATCGCTCGGTATCGCAAGGTACATGCTCGGTACCACTCGGTACAACAATGCTTGGTACCACTAGGTACATGCTCGGTACTGCTCGGTATCTTTCCATACAAATGACTTCGGGCTTTAAAAATAAACATAACTTCAAAATTACTCTTATAAAGGCGCTGCCCCTTGACCCCACGACCTGACTGGGCAGGTCGAACCCCGCCAGGGGGCAGCACCCCCTTGGACCCTTGGTTGTCCAACATATTGTTGTATTCATTGCTATTTATTTTTTAAATTATATGTTATTGAAAAGAATATTGTGATTGGGGAAAGATAGAATTTGAGTTTAACTATATTTTATATTGTCTTATTATTGGAATATTTTGATTTCACTTCATAACTTGTGGCTTTTAATGTTTTATATTTTTTGCTTATTAGTATATAAAAAAATTAACATTTTATGTTTACGCAATTTTTTGATTTTGAGGCTTATGCCTCAAAATGCCTTGAGGCTTACGCCTCGCCTCACGAACAAAAAACACCTCAATACCCGATTACACAATTTTAAACATTGACCCCAGCTTATCCAAAGCAATGATTTCTTTGAAATCCCTAGTTCATCCCCTACAAGTAGATGGATTCTTGGTGGAGCTTTATAGTCTGGAGGGAGGAGAGATAGAAGATGTAACGAACATTCCAGATATGGTCCAGCCACTTTTTCAGCAATTCAGGGAGGTATTTCAACTTCCCTAGGGATTGTCATTCCCTTGGGAGCACGTGCATTCTATCGTTCTGAAGGAAGGAGTCTTTCCCATTAGTGTCCAGCCATACCATCGCCCTTAGGTCTAGAAGGATGAGATTGAGAGACTGATTAGAGAGGTGCTTGAAGTTGGAATTTTCAAGCCTAGTGTAAGCCCTTTCTCTAGTCCTGTGTTGTTGGTGAAGAAGAAGGATGGAAGTTAGAG